GGTAAGATTCAGACTTTTGTTTTTGTTTTTTTTTGGTTCCCTTTAATGGACCATGGACATAGTTTTGTGTGGATTCCATTTCAACCATCGCATTAATTTTGCCCTAAAATATTGTTCTTCTGTAATTTAAGTTACACACCTAATTCATTTGGCAGGCTTCTGAGCTGGGATTTTGAAAGTGCAATATTGACGAGACCGTTTTGAGGGCGAGAACGGAGGCTAAATTTGGCGCTGTGTCGTTCGTAACTCGACTGGATCTGTACTGAAAACGTTAAGAGGCAAATTGCAACTGCTCTTGGCAGAACTCTTGGGATGCCAGCAAGTGCTGTAGTACCTTGTTCTGAATGTCAGTGGGCTTGATATTTTGGAGCTGGACGTGCTACTGGGGAAGCAGGCGCTTGTGTCGCAAGAGTCGAATAGTGTTCTAAATTTGGTTTCATCAGTGACGACTGCAGACGACTCCTTACTAACGACCAGATATCTCAGTCAGTTGGGTGAGAAGAGAAGGAAACATGTTTTGCCCGTTGGAGGACGAGAGACTTGTCATCCTACTAAGATTTCTGTGTAAAAAATTGAACTTCTTAAATATGATTTTTATTTCTCTTCTTTAATGATATTGGCATTTTTTTTTTATAAAAAAAATATATATATATTTATTTAGAAAGTAAGTTGAAATTGATTTTGGATTTAAAAAATAATTAAAATAGAAGATTTATGGTTTGTTTAATCCGATTGATTTTTGTGTTGTAAGCTGCTAAAAGATTCACAAAACTAATTTTGAAATCATTTCTAAAAATAATATGGTGTTAAGTAATTTTATTACAAAAATAATTTATTTTTAACCCATTTAAAACAGTTGTCCTGATTACCCAATTATTAAATACTAATATAATTCAATATTATTAAATAAAATTACCGTGTTGCCATACCATGTAGTTAAAAAAAAAATTTAACATTCAAACAATTTGGTATATTACTTTGAATAGTTTATTATCGTAAAATAATTTGGATGAATGTACGAAATAATTTAAATATTTAATCGTATTAAATATAGATTCTTTCAATTACACTAAATTATATTTGAGATTCGATTCAACTAATCTCGTTTTTTTTTTTCAAAAATCTTAAAACTCCCCGACCTATTGTGATCCAATTATATTCGAAACTGAATTAACATGTTCGAAAATAAGATTTCTCAAACGAAGTCTTTGTATAGGAGAAAAAGATTACGAGCCAACAACTATTCTCGAACTATTACTGAAACATTGTATATATATGGATAAAGCCTCCCAACTTTCCTAAATCAAAATCAAACAGCAGTATTACCCCATTGGAAATAGTCATAAATCCACAAAGCTCTTTAGTTCCTCAACTAGCCTGTATTACTTCATTCTACAAGTTGCAAAAACATGATGAATTATACATATAATGTTTACCTATCTGAGATAAATAAGGATTCTGCAAGCACTAGAAGCGCCGAATCTCCTTAGGTGGTCTGAAATTCAGAGGATGAGTTTCTGGAGTGGCAGTTTCATCTTCCTTCCACATTTTTATGGTCTTGTCTGCTTCGCATGTAATCAGCCTTGAACCTGTGATGTCATATGATAGAGCATATATACCGGCTTCACTTTCCAAAGAACCTGCAATCAAACACCCATCATCGATCACCTAACAATCATACTAGCACTCTAATCCAACACCTACATTTACATGAATTTTATATTTCGAAGAAAATACAAAGCACATCATACCAGGCTGTACAATGGTTTGAGCTTGTTGGAAATTGTGACCACTCTTCCAATCCCAGAACCACAGACTTCCGTTGTCACCTTCAACAACATAAGAGAAAAAAATGAGGAAGATTCAAACATACTTCAAGACCTGCTAAAAATAATCACCCGTACCCTCCACCCACATAGTCCAATAGAAAAGGCTAAAACAATAATATACGTAGGCACCAATCAGGTTAACTTCAATAATCATTCATATCCATTTTACACAAGAAAACAAAAATTAAGTACACACACCTCCAGTAGCCATTACGCCCTCTTCATTGACTGTCATTGCATTAATTATGGTTTTCTGCTGAGAGCTGCTCAGAAAACACACAATATTGGGATATCAAGATTAAGCTAAACTGTCTCATGAACATTTTGGCATTGTGTCGTAAATATAAAGGAGAAAGGGGTGAAAACTTACAGCATGTTGTGTAAAAATTCTCCCTTTGGAAGGTTGAATTTCTTAATGTTGTCAGCAGATGCAGATGCAAAACAATTCCTGAAGTGAAGTAAAACGTAGTAACAAGGATCACAATATTTCAGACCACATCTCAATATTAAACAAAAGAAAGATACTGAATGCACACATACTCTTTAGGATGCAGTGCCATTGCTCGCACAGACTTCTTATGGTGTGTTAGAGTTGTCATTGTTTTCCCTGCAAGATAGAACCAATTGTACACAATGTGTGACCTGCCAATATAGAAATCAACGAAGCCTCAAATCCAAACTAGATGCATTCGTTCAGGAAAAAGGAATCAAATAAATATTGAAGGTAATTAGAAGTAGACTGATTACCATATCTAAGGTCCCAAAACTTAATGGTTGAGTCATGGGAGCCAGTGACAACTTGCGGGTCCTGGGACAAGACCATATTTTAACACAACCATAATCAATCATAATTCCTTCCCTTGAGAAAAAAATAGCCAATACATTTAAAAGATAACATAAATTATACACCATAAGGAGATCAGTCAAGCACTCATGCTTGACCATGAGATTTTTTTCAAGTGGTCACCCCTCTCCGTACATCAACTAAGCAGTGGTGAAGTATTTGACTGGGTTTTAACAACACTCTAAACTAGTTAGGCCATCCCCCAACCAAGAAAGAACATTAATATTACTCCGCATCACTCAATGACAAGTCAATAAAATAATCGTAGTTCTTGTATCAAGACAGTGACACCTTTATGCATTACCATATACATAATATCCAATTACAACTGCATGAGCAAGAATAAGACAATAGAAACATGTTTTCAGAACGCATATTCCATATTCCAATAACATCATCATGAGAAACCAAGGAACCAAAAGTAAGGGAATCAACAGACCGTTGGTCGGGTAAATACTGAGCAAACAGTGTTATCATGTCCAGACAGCGCAAAAATTTGCATCTTTGTACGAATATCCCATACCTGTAACCAAAACATTAATAAGATTAACTTAGTGAGTGGCAACAAAAAATGCATCCACAATTTGTAGAGCATAATTTGCTTGCATTAGTAAAACATTACCCGGCAGACAGAATCACGACCCCCAGTTAACAAAATGTCAAGTGTTGGATGCAGTGCTAAGCAGTAAACACCACTTAAATGACCATGATAAGACCGAATGACCTACCAAAAGAGGTTAAACTCCAAAATGTGAGTTACTCTAAAGCAGGAAGAGGTTGAAAGAGAGATAAATCAATCATTAGTCTATAGAGTTCTAACCTTGTTCTGCTCAAGATCCCAGCATTTAACTTGCTTGTCATCACCAGCCGAGAACATGTAGGTGTGTCGGCTGCTGACAGCAAGACCTAAGATAAAAATAAACACGCTAAGGATCCTAATGCTAGATTCAATATATTTTCTAAAATTAATGACAAATCAAAACAATTCCAGATTCAACATATTATGCAATTACAAATTAAAATCAACTAACACAGTCAAAATTATTCCTTAGACTGACCTCGTATTTGTTCAATGTGTCCAGTTAGTGTGAGCTTCAGCCTCGCACTCCCTACATCCCATATCTGGTAAACCAAAATTCACGCAGGAGTAACTGCAGAATTCTTTATCCAGATCCAATTTTATGGCTGAATTGCTCTAATTTTAAACTTATACCTTGATGGTGCGATCTGCAGAGCCAGTACAAAACCATGAATTACTTGGATCAAATGCAATAGATCTAACCCATCCCAGATGCCCACTAATAACCTACAAAACCAATTTGCAGCATTTCAAAGATTGGTTAACATAGCAAGCAATTTTATGAAACTAGAAATCAATTATTTTCAAATACCAACAATTGAAATTAACCATGAAAGGAAGTGAAATATAAACTTCAAATTAAAGACCAATAAAGGTCTTTCCTTCTCAACCAGTAAATATTATTTGACAGATGGTGAGAAAACCACAAGGCCATTAGTCTTTAGTGAGAATAAGTAGGTCCACCATCAACTGTACTTATGACACCCAATGCAAGCTTAACAATACATTATTACAAATATCAATTATTTTGGATGAGAACGATATTGCAAGAATGTATAAGAAATAGAAAGTTTGAGACCAAAAAAGCTGTTGTACATTTTGTCATTTCGAACAAAAAAATAAAAGAAAGAGTGATGTAGGACAAAAGTGAGCTTGAGTATAATACTTAGAGAAAATTTATTAAGAAGCTAAAATTGAATATCCCATACCTCAATAATTAAAGCAATGACTTAATATTGTATAATTATCAAATGAATAGTCTACCAAATAACTGATTAATCTATCTATAGGTACCAGAATACAATCAAAATTAAAGTTCACAAGTAAATCTAGAAATTCTACAAAATAAAAGAAAATAAGCAAACTAATTGAATAACCTATAGTATAGAATAACTAAACAGGAACTTAAAGTAGAAAACAAAGAACTTATATCACTGATGAATATATTCGTACTAGTTCCCAAATAAAGCTAAATCCCTTCATGATAAATAAATGTTATGATTACACAAATAATCTTTCAGTATCAAAATATGTACATTAGGATTTTTTTTTTCATTTATATTATTCTACCCCACTTGGTAAAAACTCAACCTTGAGTTTTGAAATGTCAAAGTAGAAAAAAATATAAAAATTGGAACTTGCCTTCTTAATGTTAAAGCTTGCAAAACTTGTGATTATCCCTAGAAAACAAGAAGCCTTATAAATTAAGGATTCAAAAAAAGTAATCAACCAATGAGGATGACTATATCCATAAAAGAATCACCAAACTTTCCCTATAATTGTTAGAAGCCAAAAAAAAAACTTATGCCGCAATATATTCATATGGAGCCTCTTTCTTCAAGATTCAACAAAAATACATTGTCTTCAAAATCAATGTCATCATTGCTTATAACTAAATTGAGAAATATATCACTAAGTAACTAAATTTGTATGGTAGAAATTACAATATCTTTCACAATCTCCTTAGCGACCTCATCTATTAACTTATCATTAGTTGGATGGTCAACGGTGATCTATTCTGTTACCTCATTCACTAACTTGTTCTCACTACTGGGTCATTAACGATAATGACCTCAATTTTGCTCCATAAAAAGAAATAGGTTGTGGCATATGATCGCCGCTAAATCATTGCAAGCTTGCATGGGAGTGCATGAAGCAACACTGCTTGTTTCATAGATAGTTTAACTTTTAGCATAACTTTCAAGAACTCTCCCTGCTAGCCCACGAGCAATTGGAGAAACATTTTCATTATCTCTTCGAACACTATGTAAGAGTAGAGAGTACAACTCTACTAAGATGTAATCACTTTCTTCCAAAAGAGTAGTTGATCGCTTCCATGTGTAAGAGAATAATCTTCCGTTGAGCTAAAACAGACTTCAAAAACTGCTTGACAGTTAAGTAATTCACAATCCAAATCTACCATCACCAGATATAATCTAATCTTGCAATTATTTCAAGAATTAAGAAATCTCTAACATGTAATTGTCTTGTCTTGTCACTTAGTATTTTAAATGTAGAAACAATTAGTTCAAGAAACTCTTTTCACCTATGAATCATCATAAAGAATATTGGGTGTAGTGATTCTAGTTAACGCACATTTGTAATAAGCACTTTCAAGTTTCACCTTGATATTTGAGTGCTTGAGAAGCTAATCACCAACTAAGGCTATTAAAATGGACAAAATGTATTTCGCACC